CTTTCATCGACTCTTTTTTTTTTTTTTTTGTTGTTGTTAATTTATAATTTTGGTTTCCTTAAAAAAAAAAACAAAACATATCTTCGTATCTGATATTATTCATTTTACCGGTGAAATTAAGTTTTTAAATTGTCAGAATTTTAATATGTAAAATAAAAACTACATTGACGCATTTTGAAATTAAATAAAGCTGAAATTTCGCCGGTTTTTAACAATTAACGAAATAGGTTTTTATTTCTAACCAAATAAAACCAGTTGTTTTTGTTTCTTTTTCATTCTCATTCGCGTGATAAAACAAAAAGTGTAATAATTAATAGAATACATTTTTAGATAGAAATATACAAAATAATAACACGCACATAATTTGTATTGTAATAATAATGCCTTGGAAGTGGTGTGAATCGTCCAAGATTTCCTTTTGTGTATAATTTGAGTGAACAGAATGATTTTGTAAATGAATTAGAAAATTTGAAATCTTGACATCTCTCAACTCTTTCAAATTTGTAAACAGCAAAATTTTAGAAAAAAATAAAAATAACATCGCCGACTTTTGTGTTCAATCACGTGACCATCATATCGTAAGTCGAACTGAATATATATATATATAAATATCTATTAGGGTGATTTTTTTTTTAAAGACATCATTTCATCATTTTCTTCCCTACTTCTATATCGTCGTTGAAACTTAATGGGCTTTTGTTGGAGAATTTTCTTCATTCATCCATAATTATTCCAAAATGTTTAATAATAATTTATTTTATTTTTAAAGCACGCTTCTATTTTTTTTAAATGGTTTATTTCAGAATTTGTCATTGACATGAACTTAAAAATTGTAAAAATGGACTTTTTTCTAAGTTTTTAGCTTTTTAGAACGGCTACAAATAACGTGAATTTCAATGAATAATAAGAAAAAAAGAAAAAGAGCCGAATAATTCGTGTCCTTTTTTGTTTTTATGAATTTCATTTCACAATGACAATTATTGTTTCTTCTTGATTAGACTCACTCATCTAATCTTTTTTTAAACAAAAATCTTAACAAAATTCGTACACTTTTTTGTTTTGTTACTTTTTATTTGAATATTTTTCCTATTAGTCTCTAAATTAATTATTGTTTCACTTGTCATCTTTTTATCAGCTGCAACGTTTTCACAAAGATTTCTATCAAAGACATTGACTTTTTTGTTTTAAAATATTTGGCTTGGAATTACATTTTTAAATTTATGAACCATCAAAACTGCTCTTCTACTTGTAATTATTAAATTATTATTATTAAGGAAGGTAAGATTGAAACTTTTGAAAAGACTGAAAAAAAAAAAAAAAAAGATATGGCTGATTATATCCTCAGTCACATCCTTCTTACCTTTTTTTTTTTTTTAATTTATTTTGTTATTTATTTCAAAACTGAATATTTTTTTTTGCTTAGTTTCTGACGGTTTCTATCTGTTTTTTTATCCTTTCAATCTGAGAAGAATTTCTTGGTTCTATTCCTTTTTAATGAAAATCTAGAAAAGCAACGTTGTTTTTTGTTTGTTTTTTACTGCAGAAATCTTTTTTAATTATTTATGATAAAAATATTTTAATTACTTAATTATGCTGATTGATAGCTTTTCAAGAAAATTATTAAAATATTTTAATGTGCAAATTATTTTTGTTATTTTTTAATTTTTTTTTTTTGTTTAAAAAATAAATTGCTGTTTTTTTTTTTTTTTTTTTTTTTTGTCAAAAGATATTAAATAACGTAATAATAGCATAGATAAAAATGGTTTTTACAATGATTAATGGATTATTTCTTCATGTGATTTCATACTTACTACTCGTTTTGTTTTATTCTAATTCTATTGTTCATATTTGTCATGTCTTTTCCGGCCAGATTCTCCAAAGAAAATTATTTTTAACTTGTTAGACATTATTTTCTAAGTGAAAACATTTGCTGCTGTTAATATATTTTTATTTTTAATTAATTCACAAATTTCCTTTACCCTTTTGAAGTCAATAATTTTACAAACCCATTTTGACAGTTTTTTCCCCTCAAATCAACGCCGATGACTTAACAATAAAAGAATGACGACAATAAAAAAACCTCTCGGTTTTCTTTTGACAAAGCAAATTATATTAATGGACATGAGGAAATGTAAATTTTCCCCTTTTTCTTACTACTTTTCTACTAGTCTACGATGGTATATTTGACCGTTTTTAACATTTCTGATGATATATATTTTTTTTTTCCAGATTATTTTTAGCATTTACTAAAAAGCAGTAACTGCTGGCATTGTCTGAGCCTTCTTAAACAGAAACTGCAATTTTCGTTCCTGTCATAAAACATAAAAAAGATCCTTCGATTATATTTCTATTATTATTCAATTTATTGTCAATATTTTTTCTCTGTGTCTGGGATTGTTTTATTGTTTTTACAGTACTTTATAATTTCCGTTATTCAACTTCAATTAATGGTCGATCCTTTCTTTATGCATTCAACCTGATTTTTATTATTTTTCTCATTTACTCTAGGGTATGGAGCCTTTTTCATAATTTCATATTCGATTTTTTGCTTTTTAATTCAAATTCATTCAGTTTTTCTAATTCAAATAAAGGTTCCTTTGTCACAATACAATTTACTTTCCCATATCGTCTTTTTTCTTTTAAGTTTTTCTTTCTTTTTCTTCTAATAAACTTAAGTAATCTAGTTATTGCGTTTAGTACACTAATGCTAGTCCGTATGTAGACAATAATAGACATTTATTATTATTATTATTACAACTGAATAATTCACTGTTCAAGTTGTTGTATTTATTTGGACTACAACACTAACCTGATTTCATTGTTTGACTAAAGATGTGATTTGTTAGATTGAAACGAAACAATGAAAATTAAAAATACATCTTCATTTTTACAATAAAAAATTATTATTCCCAAGGAGAAAACATGTTTTAATAAATTTATTCTCGCTACAAAACTAAATCGAAAATGCTCATACTTGTTATTGGGGATTTTACTTAATGCAGTCAAAGTGGGAGTGTCATCCCAATTTTATGTGGATTTTTACAAAATCTTTTACTCAACTGTATTTTTTTTTTTTTTTTTTTTTGTACCGTGTGTGGTTGGTGTCTTATTTTAAAGTGCAATCTTGCGTTTGTGTTTTTCTGTATTTATATTACAATTGCAATTTTCTTATGACTGTTTTAAGACAAGTCTTTATTTGTCAATGAGTATTATGCAAAACTTTTACAACGTAATCATTCAGCAGTTTGATTTTAGTAGTAATTCATATGAAAGCATCACCAATAAATGTAAAGCGAGTGCATCAAGGGAAATAATTCTGCTTTAGTTTTGATTTATATATTAAAACGCAATATAAAGTCTTTCTAAAGGAAGAAAAGTAATGGAGCACTTATAAAAATTGGACTTTTCCTTTTCATATTTTGCTTTTTAAATTCATTGAGTTTTTAACCATTTTTTGGCATTAGATTCATATTACAGTTGATATCTATAAAGGAAAATAAAATCTAAATTTGAAAAACAGTTGGAAAATAAATTTGCAATATGAACATTTTTGAAGTGTGTTTTTTTTGTTTTTTTGTTTTTACTAAAAAAAATCATTTATTTTTTAAATATAACAATCTGTAATTTTGAAATATTTGCCATGAAATCCTTGTAATAGCAAAATACACACACACACATCAGTTTTATTTGTTTTTTTAATTTTCATTTTATTACTAATAAAACTGATTTCCTGTTATAATTTGACTAACTGTTGAATTCAACAAAATTCAACCAAACAAAATTCAACCAAACAAAATGTTCAAATTCTTACAAAGTTAAATTAACAAAATGTAATTCCAACTTGTGTATATTTGTATGCGTATATAACATTATTTTACAAAAAGTGTTATAAATCTTTGTGACATGATATGGTGTTGAAGTGTTGTTAAATGCAAAAATCCAAGTAAAATATTTTGTATTGTCACATTATTATTTGAATGTTTTAGAACTTGATTTGAAAATATTTACCAAATACTTATTTAAAAAATTGTGTAATAATTGGATTTAGATTTAGTGCCAGCAGAAAGCTGATCTCTTTCCAAAAGAAAGACAAAATAATGTAGATTTTCCTCATGGGAGTAAGTTTATTTATCTAACTCAAGTATTTTTTCCAAAATTCAGGGTTTTAGAAATTTTTATCATGCCTCAATATTTGTATACCAACTGTATATATACTTTTTCATTTGTTCAGTGAATTCAGGATTGAAATATCAAAAAAATTTTTTTTTTCTTCATCAACATGATTTTTGTTTTTGCCTAATTTTTTTTCTATTTGTATTTCATGTTTTTATCACTAAAAAGAGATTTGATATGAAAAATGCATAAACTTTAGCACAGAAAAATATCATAGATTTGAATAAAAATTCTTAACAATTCTTATACCTGAAAGTATGTTTATTATAAGTAGTAACTGAACTTTAAGCTGAACAATTTGAATGAAATAAACTTATTTTTAGATTCATTAATAATGAATAGGATTCACATTTAAAAAAAACAAAAAAAAAACATTTCTTTTTTTTCTTAACCATTTTTATATTTTTTTTTGTACATTTATATCTGGAATGCTACATAATACCAGCAGAAATTTTATAACCCCAAAATTCTTGTCTTTTTGTTTTAAAAATCATTTTTTTCTAATTTTCTTTAAAGATTCATTTAGTAATGAGTTTTAGAGATGTTAAGTTAAGCTTTTGAAAATATTCAATGTGATTAGCTATAGTTTTTTTTCTTGATTTGTGTAAAGTAAGCTAATTTTTATATCTTGATAATTTTTAATATACTGCTATAGACAAATAGTTTTAGTATTTTAAACATTTTTTTTTTTAAATTTTAAAGCTATAAAACAATTACTTGAAAGTTGTTTCTTCCGATTTAGTTTTCATTCATCTATAACTTTGATTCTACATTTTTCTCCAGGCTCCAAGTGAAAGCATAATTCCATTTGACCATTAGTCTTTGAAATGCCACCCCGTCGGCGTCGGCGCTCACCTGACCCTGATAGGAATATTGATGAATTGGAAGACCTTAGAGCAAAGAAGGCTGCTGCTTGGTAAGCCACACATTCACTCTTCATTTGATTAGTTTTGTTGGGCTTGTGTTTTCAAAACTTGTACATGAAATAGGAAAGAAATTATTTTGATCTTTAGAAAGTAATGAGTTCCTCTTTAAAAGTTCTCAATTTCAGAAGTAGCAAATATTGTAAAAATAACCTACTAAAATTATTTTGGTAAATATTTGTAATACTATTATTTACTTTTTTTTTTTTTTTTTTTTGCTTAAAAAAACAATGACTAGATTTTCATAATTTGTTTTGCAAAATAAAACAGTCCTAAAAGAAAAAATTTCTGTGACTCCAAAACATTGTATAATGCAAGAATATGAGAAGAGAGAGTTGGCATTTTTCTTTCTTTGCTATTTTAAGAACATATGATCACTGAATAACTTTTTGTTATATACTCAGATATAATAAACTCTATTAAAACAATCTATACAAAAATCTATTTTTATGATAAATTTTTCAAGAGGAATACTTCAAAAAATAAGGATGTCAGATGTTTTGTAAAGAATCTTCAGAATTAATAAAATTCTACAAACCTGATGCTATATTTCCCCATCTACCATAATACTTGATTTTTTTTTTCTTTTTTTTTTTTTTTCTCAGTTATTGCTTTGGGGTTAGTAGTAGTGAAGATTCAAATTGAAAGCAGCATATGTTAGGCAAAAGGGCTTGTGGACATAGTAGGAATAACTGTAATAACTTAAATCGACAAGAAAATAAGAAAATCGACACCTTTTTCTTAGTATATTTAATAGTTGTAGGGCACTTTTACTTCCATGTCCTTAAATGGTTTGTTTATAAAATTGGTAAATAATATTTTTTTTTTAATTGAAGTCAGCATATTAAGTTTATTTTGTTTAGAGAGTTTAGTATTGATTTGGCTGACATATTTGTTACTAATAAACATTAACATAATCTATTCAGTACTATTAAGAGTTATATGATCATTTCATTCCCAATAGTGCTTATTACAATTTAACAATCATCTAGCAAATATTTTTTTAATTCTTATTTGTTTGAAATGATAAATTGTAAATTATGGTTGCTAATTATAATTTGCCAGCACTCATACAATTTAATTTGGTTAATGGTATAGGACATAAATTATTTTATGCATGTCTGATTTTGTTTGTGAAAAAAAAAGTTTTTCTAAAATTAGATATTACTTTGGTCATAAATATGTATGAAGCATGCAGCCATATATGACTGAATTCCTTTTCTAAATTTATACAAATTCAAACACATAGGCAAAAGCAATTAAAAAGAATAATTTTCATTGTTTTGTTTCAATTCAAAACAAAAGAATCTTTAAGTATATTGAAAACTTACAAATAAAGTTTTCATTGGTGAATCTTCTTCATATTTTGAGTGAATTTCCATTTCTATTCAGAAAATATTTTATAAAACTAATGTTGTTGCTTGTTGCAGGCCAAAGAAAGAACAAATGAATGACGATATTGTTGAAACATTTGGAAAGAAAAGATGCATAGCATGGTTTCAAGAATATTCTGGTAATGATAGCATTTAGTTTTCAATATTGTTTTTGACTTGATTAATTTTAAGCTGTTTCAGTTTCTTTCAACACATTTAATTTCTTCTTTTTAAATAAATTTGATGTCTTATTTTTGAGAATTTTTTGTTTATTTTGGATTTTTTGCAATTGTGAAATTGTTATAGATTTTAAAATGAATAAGAAATTTTGGGTTTTTTCATTTTTTATTTATTTTATTTTTTTTTTTTCAATTAGGTGTTGATGATGACCTTATTAGCCCAGAGGGCATGGAGAAATTTTGTGAAGATATTGGTGTTGAACCAGAAAATGTATGTCTAAATTTTCATATTAAAATTTTATTTGATATGTAACATACTTCTGGTCTACTTTTAATACTTTTAATTTTGGAAAAAAATTTTATAAATTTTTTTTTTTTTTTTATATTCATTCAGGATTTCTAAATTATGTTGATTAAAAGTACAAGACATCTCTATCTTAAAGAAGTTTTAAATATAACTGCACACCTTATAAAGGAATATTTGAAGATAAAATCTTCAAATGGTTAAGTGCTCAATATCAGGAATAGAATGTGATAAATATAAAAGTGGACACTGGTGTCAATTTGATTTTTAACAGTTTGTTTCATGCATATAAACATGATTGTTAATTGCAGCTTGGTATAATTTATGAGAGGAAAATGTTTAGGTGAGGCTTTATTTTAAAAGCTATACAAAAATTTTCTGGTTTTGTTACTAAATTCTAAGTCTGCCCAGGAAACGCATCAACTGATTCCACCAAGAACTCTTGGGGTATGGAAGACATAACTTCTTGTATTTGTCCTTCAAGTTCTTCCAAAGTCTTGGTTTGGTATAGCAGACTTGTTCCTTTAATCAGCCCCAAAGAAAAAAGTCACAGGGTATTAAGTCAAGACTCCTGGCTGGCTACTCAGACATAAAATAGGGAGTTACTTTTCAAATGGATAAGTTGTCTTCTAAATTATGTAAAAATGAAAATTACATTGACATTTCATTTCAACAGATATATTTACCAAAATTACACAAAAATATCTTGAAATACTAAAGAGTAAATTTATTTAATAAAATAGCCATTGAATTCAACCAGAGCCTTTTTACAAATTGAATCTCCTGCAACTCTTCTGACAGTCTCCTTGTTTAAGTTGGTGAATGTTACCATAATTTTACCTTCAGTTCATCTTTATAGTGTTTTAAGGAGTTTTATTGGTCTCTTTCCAACTGCATCCTTTACAAAATAATCAAGGGAGTTGCAGTCTGGGGAGTTAGGTGGGGAAGAGATAAGGAGTGATGTAAATGTTAGAAATTGTCTGACAGTCATGACTGGGTTCTCCTGCTTGTGTGTTTTTTGGTTTTAGAGTTTAAAAAAATGTTGTTTTTTTTTTTTTTTAAGCCCAGGTTTAAATATTAAAAAATTCTATTAAATTTAAAAAATTCCTGTTTTTTTTTGTTTCAATTGACATAAAAAGTTTTTTATTAGTATTGCTTCAGAATATCTGATTGTTATTTTCTAGTGTTTTAAATTTTTAATTATTGATTAACTGTCAAACATTTTTTGAGAAAATAAAACATCATACTAGATTTAAAGTAGGGAACCTGAAACAGAATCAGCTATTGGAGGGTATTTTCACTTTCTAAACGACTTTTTAGATTCATTTTGACAATTTTTCTTTTGAAAAAAACAAACTGGCAAATATTTAATGTTTGTTTCAGCAAGTCATATAATACATAAATTTTTGACATCTCAAAAATAATCCATTCATATATTCCTTTCACTAAATTTGGTCATATTAACAAAATATACATGTGATATATATAATATATATATAACTGTGTTCATATATTTATATATTATAAATATTTATATATATATGTAAATATATACTGCCATTCTGTATTATATATATATTCATATATATATATATATATATATATATCCATATTTTAAAAATATATGTTTATATATATAAAATTGAATATAAACTTTTAAATATTTATATATATATATTCTTCATCATATATATGTATATGTGTGTATGTATCTGGGTATATATATGTGTGTGTGTGTATATATATATATTTTTACATGAATCGAATATGTATCCTTTCACCATCATTCAAATTTTTTTTGTAACGGTTATTAAATAAAGGGATTATCAAACGTTTTTACTATTCAGTGTGTTTCATTGATTTTTGTCATCTTTTGGAAAATGATTGAATAACAAATTTATACAACCAACACAAAAGCTAATGCACTAGTCATGCATATTTTTAAATGCAACCATAATTTTGATTTTAAAATGATACACTCATAAAAAAATAAGAAAATAACTCACTCAGAGGGAAAATTCTAGAGAGTGCCGCCATAGAATATTAATCATATATTAATTAAAATGATTTTTTCCCTACATTTCAAATTTGTTAACAAAATTACTGCTATATAAACAAACGTACACGACAATATTTTAAAATCCCAAGAAAATGGTCGAATCAGCCAACACAGTAATAATGACAATATTCTCCACATTATGAAAATAACTTTAACAGATTTTCATTAACAATTAACTAGCGTTTTTACTATTCCTCCAGTTACTAAGAACATTTTGTTTTTTAAATTATAAAATACGCTCTTTAATTAAATTCATTTCGTTTTTTGCTTTGATTCAAGTCCACATTTTGAACGAAACGCGTCATTTTAAAATTACAATTTTCTTATTGTCATTTAGATATATATATATATATATATATATATATATATGTGTGTGTGTGTGTGTGTGTGTGTATGTATATATCTATATTATTTTAAAAACATTATGAGATGGCTACAAAAATGTTTTCCATATTATGTATTAATCCTGAAACTTTTTAAACTTCTAGATTTTTTCTTCCCCTTGTAATTTTTATTTTTATATATATATATATATATATATATATATATATATATATATATATATATATACACACACACATACACACACACACAAACACACACATATTATATATATATATATATATATATATATATATATATATATATATATATATATATATATATATATATATATATATATATATATATATATATTTATATATATATATATATAGAGAGAGAGGAGAGAGAGAGATTCTGAGACTTGTGATTATTCATAGCCATATAAAATTTGTCGTAAAATGAATATATTTCAGTTAAACCCTTTTCTTTTTTATAATTATATATAAAGAATGAAAAGACAAGGAAAAAAATTATATTTTCTATAATTTTGTTATCTAACAGTGACTAATTATACAATGAGATAATGTTTTATATATTCTCAATTACAAATGTGTTTTAATCACCTTATTTATAAATTTAATTTTGAATTAGAAAATATATTTTTAACGAAAATTTTTCAACAAATATATAAATTCTCAATGAATGAAATAATATACGTGTTGAGTAAAAATATTCTGATATAAATACAATATATCTGTTTTTATAAATATTAAGAAGGAAAATGAACTAAAGGAAACAGTTTAATCGAATAGGTTTCCTTCCTTGAGGAATTTTCATAAATATATGTAAGTATTTATTTCGTATCCATAATTTATATGGAGATATATTTGTAAAAAAATAAGGTTAATCATTTAAATATTGAATTAAAGAACACGTTTGCATAAAAAATCCAAGTGCGAATTCTTTGTTTAATAAGTTTTAGGCATATTAAATGAATATCTTGAAGAGGACTGATAAGAGTTTTTTTTTTTTGGACGAAGATAAGAAATCATGCTGATTTCAGTTTGCATTCAAAAATTTTTTCAAGTTCTAAAATTATATTAAACTAAAGTGAATAAATGTATATATATCAATATTGATTTTTATGGAATTATTATTTATCAATTTATTGTATGTATATTTTTTATATTGTCTATTTATCGATGTGATTCAATTTTTCGTACATTTCAGTATTTAAACACACAAACACACATACACAAACAGACACACACACACATATATATATATATGTATTCATGTATAAAGATATATTAAAATAAAAAAAACATTAATTTTTGGAAATGGCTAAAAAAACGTTTCCATGTTTCAATACTTTGATTGTACTTCTTCATTTGATGGCAATTAATTTCATTTGACAAAATGTTTATTCAATGCTTTGATATTATATCCCACTTTTTCTTATAATCTTTTCTAATAAAAATAATATATTATTCTAAAAAATTTTGTCTTTTTTAAAATTAATTACTACGGATAAGAAAAATTTTTTTCATTCAATTGTTTCTCTATATTTCTCTCTCACTCTCTGTCTCTCTCTCTGTTTTTATATATATATATATATATATATATATATATATATATATATATATATATATATATATATAGATAGATAGATATAGATAATAATTCAAACTGCAATAGACAAACCTAAAATAGATATCAATTAAAAAGTTTTATAAAAAGAATTTAAAAAAGCATGAAGAAAAATTCTCTTAATGTGTACTATATTTAAAAAATAAAAGTGCTTAATATCATAGATAGATTATGTTCTAAATAAATGTGAACATTGAATTATAAAAAACCCAATACCAATATTTTATATATACATTTTAAATGCAATCATCAGTCCATCTATAATTAAAAGCATATACAAATTATCTATCAGTAAACTGAATTAGTATGTTCAGCAAATATTCGATTTGAATGAGCATATCAATTCCTATAATAAGGCTCTAAAAAGATAGTGGCTATAAAAAAACCAAAACTAACTTATATAAAAAATGAAAATGGAAAGCATAGAAAAAACAGATGTAGAAAAATTATTTGCTATACTCCCCCATATAACCAAATAGGTAAAGAACAAATTAGGACATAAATTCCTCGCATTAATAGTCAAGAATTTTCCTAGTGAAAGTAAAATAAGTACTATTTTCAATAAAAAAACACTAAAATTGAGTTATAGCTGTACAAAAAACTTAGAAAAAAATTTATTAAGAACCATAATGCTAATATCTTAAATAAACACTTATACCAAAACCAAAAAAAATTAGACAATGGAAAATTAAGATAAAACTGATGGAAATAAACAAAAACTATGTAACTGTAGAAACCCTCAAAATTGCCCACTACAAAATAAATGTCACACTGAATCATTAGTATACCAATGCAATATCTCTTCGATTGAAAGTCCTCCTAAAACATAAAAATATATATAGGTTGCACTAGCCATGAATTCAAAAAAAAAATCAACCAACATCAAACTTCATTTAGAATAAATAATATAAAAAATCAAACATCTCTCTCAAAA